AAAAACACTCGAAAAATTAATTACACAAAAGGTATTTATTAATTAATTAATTTTTTAGTTAAAATACTCGCTTATTTGTTTATTTAGTAAGTTAATATTAAATATAAAAGTTTATTTTAATATAGGCAAACCTGTAAACAATGGCCACTGATGGAAACATATCAAAAATGTCCGTTGTTTACAGGTTATCTTGATAAAATGGATGCTGATTACAGGTGATATTAATGAATTTTCTACTATGTACATGTATTTATTTTAAGATTAAACAAAGTAGAAACATCTTAAATATGTAATAAATATAAAATAGATTTTAAATAAAAAGTTTCGAAAGGTAGCAAATACTATTTTAAAGAAGTAGAAGAGGAGGAGGAAAAAAAATCCAATATTTTTCTTTAGATATGTTTAAAATATTTTTACGTGGGAGCCATTTACTAGAAAAAAAAATACAGTCAGTACTGAATGACGTGTAATCTATGCTGAATTGGAAAAGACTAGTAGAATTTAGTTATATACTTAAAGGAGAAAGAAAGATGTTATGGAAACAAACGATTCGATTATAGACTCTATCTCCAGAAACACTGACAGCTTCCGAGATCCCAGGTGTGCAAAAAAAGTACAAAAAAAAAAGCATCATATTTCGCGTCAATTCTTCAAGTTGTGTCATAACTGCCTTAGTTTTCTTCCAATCCCAAAAGAAATCTCTTCAGTTTCTTAAAGTCTCAAAAGCGATCTAGAAGCGGTTTATTCTTTGCCTATTCTAAAAAAAATATATATAGTTGCATGAATGTCAAACTTGTTTCAAACTTATATAATATCTCAGGGAAAAAAAAGCAAGAAAGAAAAGAAGAAGAAACCTTTTATAAGTATATAAAACATTATATCAGCATATATAACTTCAGCCATGATTTTTATAGAATATTGTACAGAAACTATGGTTACACTCTATGGAAAGTATGGATATTAATTTGGTAGAATCTTCTAAGAATATAGACCATTACTAATTTATATATGTATCTGTAAAGTAGAGTATATAATCTACTAGATCCTACTTATATTTTGGGTAGTAGGATCGGAAAAAAAAAAAAAATACAATAAGTTGTAAGTAAGCACCTGAGTATATTTTTAGTGGGTGAAGGAAAAGATTTTGGTTATTGGATAGAAAAGTGGCTATTTTCAGTATTCACTACATTTACTCAGATGTCTGTTAGTGACATTTTAGAAAAGTGAGTAAGCAAGTGATTGGCTGTAGTTCGACCACGTCAGCAGTCTTTCTCGGTGGGTTAGAGCAAGGTGGTTTCTACAGAAGGTTCATTGGTCTCAGTCGCTTCATTTCCTTAAGTGCTTGGTCCCCCGTGTCCCTTACTTGAGATATCTACCTGGTATTCACTTAACCAAATTAAATGTACTAGAATTGAACACTTTCTATCCTTTGGGGTTATTTTATAGTATTTATTTTTACTTGATTTTTTTTTCTCCTTAAATCTGTAACCGGAGGAAAAAAAAACTATGTTCAAATTTAGTTTCTTTTATTTTAACTTATATCTAACTGAATTTTCTTTAAATTTCATTACTTTAAGCCGAGTGTCTGGCGACGTATAAACAGGTAAATTATTCATTTAACTACGTGGCATTTTGTTAAGCATAAATAGGTGTTTTTAGTAGTTTATTCCTACTAAAGATGTCGCCACATTTTAACACTTTAAATCTTAGTACTTTCTAAGAAAAGTGAAAATAATTAAATTGTTACCAAAAGAAAAAAAAAAGTTAAAGTCAACCCATTTAATTTTTTTTCTCAATAAAAAAACAAGATCTACAGTAAAACTTTATTTAAGTAATTGCTTTGTTTAATCGCATTAAAAACATTTTAATTGATAATAAAAATACTTTGGTATGATAAATATCAAACTAAAAATGCCCTTTAAAATATTAAACAATGGCTCATTTTATTAACACTAAACAAATACTAAACTAAAAGATTTATGTTTTTAATGTATATAATAAATTTAAATAAAAAAATAAAATAAATAAATTTTTCAAATGTTATAAATAGGGNATACACTTTTTGTTTCTTGGAAACCAAATACAAAATTGCTCTCTTAATCCCAGTTTTAGTCTGCAAGAAAATGGAAAAGTGTGCATTTTAAGGTCATTAGAAAGATAAACTTGGTAATAGTGGTATTAAAATTCTTTACGTGATTTTTAATAATATATTTAACAATTAAGTCGAGAAGTTGTTACCAGATGGCGCCACTAACTAAGAGGCATCAATTAACGAGATTGACGAGTAATATATTAATAAGAATCTTTCTTTAGCCTGGATAATAGGCTTTAGGAAATTGAAGAAGTGGAAAGAAAGAAAATTTTTGCTGTAATTCGAAATGAAGATTTTTAAATAATTGAACACCTAATTGTTCTTTTGTCTTAAGTACAGTGGATTAAACTTTACTTCTTTATCTGTAGAAGTAGAAAGAGACAATCTACTGTAAAGAGACAATCAGGGAGGGGTGGAAACAGATTAGGGATGTCTTCTTCTAAAAAAAAAAAAAAAAACGAAATGCTAGTTAATGATGGGTATACACATTGCCTTGGAAATAAATTAACTGATTTCAAGCAGTATATGGCTATGTGTGTTTGTTCAATCGATCGAATAAAATAATTTAGGAATTCACGAAGAATAGCTAAAGTGATTTACTCAGTGTTTCTACTTAAGTTTCAGAATACTTTTTTTTTTTGTTTTGTTTTCGTTTTTTACCTTAGGATAATTTATAAAGATCTTGTTTAGTATTTATCTGTTTAAATTGTGTAAAAGTTCTTTCATTTGCGTGTGTGTGAGTGTTGTTTTTTTGGTTCGTCATTTAAATAGTTAATTGTTTCTGGTTGAGTGGTCTCGTTGATAGAAGGAGAAAAGAAGGAGAGTTGTTGAAAATTCTCAAGAAATTTCGAAGAACTGCGAATACGTAGGGACGGAAATTAATTGTAATAATAAAAAAAATCGTTTGTAGATGACAAATTAAGTATCCTTTTTTCGTTAATGCAGAAAACAATTTTGCTTTTCCACGAAGTAAAAAAAATATATATATATTTCTGCATAATTGAAAGGGGTTAAATCTTTCTTGCATGATGAATTTTTAACAATATTCAAAGAGAATTTAATACATTTAAAAAGTAAATACCTAAACATTAACGTTAGTAGAAAATATTTAGAAACTCTGTTTGATGCCAAATACAGAAAAAAAAAGTGGGGGGATAAAAAAAAAATAAATTATATGTACACATATATATTTATATATATGTATATAAAGAACCATCCTTCGTTTTAGAAAATATTTCTAACAATTTTCGTTTCAGAAAGAGTAATTACACGTTGTGAAGCAATCAGTACAATTACTGTCTGACAAATTTGGTGATTTCGATCCTCCACGTCACGTGACTCATGGGAGTGACATTAATAGTAGGTTGGGGTTATTAGGTCAAAGTGTAATAAGATGAAAAACCGCGGATACAGGTGCTCCGGGTCGCATAAAAGGTCTAAAAGATACACCCAAAACAATCAATCATTTTCTGTGCCATATCCATAATTCACCTTGACCTGTCGTATTTAGAAAAAGAATTATCAGATAGGAGGAAACGTGTTTATCAAAAACTGACTGAATTTTTTATTATATACTTTAATTCATAATATATTATGAATATAAAGATGAAGTGACACTGTAAAATTAATTCATAGCGCAGATTAATGTAGATATTGAATTTCTAGAAGGTTTATATATTCAATCATCTGCACAAGATTTAAAAAAAAAACACCAAGATTATTATTTTTAAAGCACATTATTTTCGTTTAGATAAGAGGGAAGAAAAACAGTAGAAAGTAAGAAAGTTTTACAATAACTTATTTGATTTTACTGCCAATAAGAAAGTAGATCTGGTGTCATTCTAGTCGAAATAAATCTTACCCTCAAGATTTAAAGTTGCTAAACGTTGTGTAATGTCAAGACTTTGTTAACAATGGGATTACTCTACAAGCAAACTTTAACAGATAAAGAAAAATATCACAGATTCTTTCTAGGTTAATATATATATATATATATTATACAAATGATAAAAAATAGATTTTCAACGTTAATCATATGGAAAAATGCATTGATATTATACAATAATGTATTTTATTATATAAAAATATAGCAGACTATTTAGGACAGATCAGATACAGTACGTTGGCTATTTATAAAGTATAAATAGATATTAGAATAGTTATTTAGCACAAAACAATCGTTTATATAACTTTATCTACTATTTTTGCCTACATAATCTTTTAATATTACGCTATTCGAATTCCAAACAAAACTTTTATATCTGTTATATTTTTCTAAATGGATTCTTACAATGCTGTTTTTGTTCTATGTAATCTTTATATTTCTTCTATTTTTATCCTAAATAACCCTTTACACGTTTATCGTTCTGCTCTTAAATAACTTTTCATGCCTTTTACTATTTTTAGTTTATACAAAAAAATATATTTTATATATCCCTTAAATAAATTATTTACAGGTTTTTATATCAACTGTTCTCCATCTAAAAATAATCATTTATAATTCTATTGTTCTTGTACAAATATAATTTATATTATTATTATTTTTAGAAAAATAAATTGAATTATTTAGTGTTGAATAGCGTGTTATCATTAATTTANAAAAACACATCACCAACCTTATTAATTATTCAAATATTTAAAATTTTTGAGTTATTCTCCCTTCGTATACTTCTGGATCAGCCACCAAATATCATCACGATAATAAATTTAAAAATATTATTCCTAATATAGAAAAAAGAGCATAAAAATTCCATACATATTTATAATATAGTTCTGTTTAAGGAATTTTACTTTGATATAAGACTAAATTTTTTTTTGTTTAGAAAGTATATTATGGTTTAAAGTGGAATAAGAAACGGTTATATGTAAGAAACTCATCAAATTTTATCATTTACGAAAAGTCAAAAAAATGGCTTTAGTAACTCCAGGCACTTCAGAAAAAAAATTTTCCGATTTGAAAGTTTCTTGGAGAAAAGTAAAAAAAAAAAAATTTGCTATATAAAAATATTTTCTCTTGTGACTCATTTATATTCTAGAACATCTAGAATATAGGACGACGTATGCCTGCGATGGAGGAGAACTCAGAATATCCTGCGACGAAGGTGTTATACGTCTTATTCGTGCCAATTATGGACGTTTTAGCATAAGTATATGCAACGATGTAGGTAATTTAGACTGGAGTGTCAACTGCATGTCCTACAGATCATTCCTTATCATGCAGGATAGGTAAGTAAACGTTATGTGACTTTTATCGATTGGAAAATTTATCTAATTGAATGGTTTCCTGTTTTGTCTTATCAGTTTTGCTTTAAAAAAAAGGGAAGAGGGATGGAAAAAATAAAAATAAAATAAAATATTAATATGGACGAGTAACGGTATTGTGTTACGCTACTTTTCTTTATTTTCTCGTATTTCTATAATCGATTCGTGATTAAGTTCGAAAGTATAACTTTTCTTAATTAATTAAAGGAATTATATATATCGAATGGCATTCTTTTATTTTGAAATGTAAAAAAAAAAAAAACATTTTTATGTGATTAATTTTCTAAAATCTGAAACGTGTGTGTGTTTGTGTCACAGTTTGAAATTTAAAGATTACCAATTAATTGGTTATTAACTCAATGGCACTGCTGAAAAGACAAATAAATTAAATAAATGTTATTAGCAAATTTAAAATTATCCTAATGAAATTGATTAATTTTCTTTTTTTTAATATTTATCATTAATTAAAAGTCACTGCTATAAATTTTCCTCTGCTTTATATCATATTACCTTCTTATCAGTCTTTATTATTTTTTCATATTTAGTTATATATAGATTTACTAAACTGAACAAAAAATGAGTTAGAAACAGGGCTGTAATTCCCTAAGATATGACATATAACAGGCCCTTTTCCTCCACCAAATAATGATACATGTAAAAATGCAAGGCCCTAAGCTGAAGGTTGTTTAGCTTATGTGCAAAGGAGTCCTTGCTTAGAAAAATATAAAGGAGGGGGACTACATGGGTTAAACCTCCCTATTGACACGCATAGAAAATTAAAATTTATTTGTTCGAACTTCAAAACACTGTTTAGAAAACGTTTTTGATCTTAAATTCGGTCCATCCGCAATACAATCGTCTTGCACATGTTAATAGCGAGTTTGCGGCCGAAGTTTTCATCTCTCAAACGTGAACGTCGAACGTCGAACGTCGAGCGCCCGCTATCTTGTAAGCGGCGCTCGACGTTCGACGTTCACGAAAACTTCAGCCCTCTAATAAAAGGACCGATTATTAATTGGGTATGTGAGCACTAAGTTTCGACTCTCAGGAGTACATCATATTAATACAATAGAAGTTACACAAAGATGGATGATCACGTGTGATTTCTCCTGTCAATAGTTTACGATAAGTCTTCCTGAGAGCCGAAACTTAGCGCTCACATAACCAATTATAGTAACATAAGGACAAAAACACATCACCAACCTTATTAATTATTCAAATATTTAAAATTTTTGAGTTATTCTCCCTTCGTATACTTCTGGATCAGCCACCAAATATCATCACGATAATAAATTTAAAAATATTATTCCTAATATAGAAAAAAGAGNAGAAAATTCTATACAAGTATGAAGTGAAGTTCCATTGAAGGGGAAGTAAAATTTTAATTACACACACAGCACCCAATTACTGTCGTTAAGTGTTTTATTAAAAATAATTACAGCCAGATATTTCCACCTCAACGCCCACCAGGACAGATTGGTATCATTTAATTTCACTTCAGTTTGGTTTAGGGGCAGAAATTTGTTCTTCCCTTCAGCAAATTTAAAAGTCTTCCCTGTAAATGTTGCTATGTAATTTAATTATAGTTGGCTAATTGCAAGAAAGTAGAGAAATTTGCAGTTGCTGCACAATTACTGATGTAGTTGTGTAGGGAAACTGTAATTTAAATTTTAATTAATACATTGGACTTATAAGAGCTAAAGTTGAAGATAAGTAATTATTTTAAATAAATATAAACTATGCAATTGTTATACTTTAGTGTTGACCGACCCTTATATTTGTTCCTATATTAGCAAATTTACTGTAATTACAAATAATTTCATTTCAATAAATATAAGAATAACAAAATTATTTGTTATATTGTCTAAATCTAATTATTTTTATTCCTCTTGTAGATGTAGTCAAAAACCTAGATGTAGTATTACTGTTTCTACAAAAAATTTTGGTGATCCATGCCCAGGTACATTGAAATATTTAGAAGTCCAATATCATTGCGTTACAGGTATATAATTTTTAATATTTACTTCATTCTAAATAAAATTTTTAAAAATATCCTAAAACTTTTGTTGTCATGTCCATACAATAAATGAAATTTCGTACTTTATACACTCTTCTATGTAAATTCTCAATTTACATCAGATAATTAAAAATATAATAGAATTATCATCAATTTATTCAGTAACTTTTAGTAAAAGCAAAACTTTCAAGCATCATTTTTTTGCAAAGAAAGTACTATTTATATATAGATATTTCAGCTATGCACTATTTCAAGATAAACAGTATATCTGTCATTTGCAAAAATCTCTTCAAACATATTATGATTATAAGTTTGGAGATAGATTAAGAGGTTCAAGAGGCACTCCAATTCTAAATTTAGATTGTTTATTTAAAAATTGATTTAGTAGTTGTTAATATTTTTCTTATCGCTGTTAAAGGAAAAATGATTATTTGAAGTACATATATCTTTGCTTTCCATTTTCTTAATGGATAGAAATTGTTTAACATAACTTGGCTATAAAATATTTCTAACTATTCTTCTTTTAAATTGGTTATTTAATATATTAGCTTATTGATCATTTTATGACCTTTTAGATAAAATAGATAAGATATCTTCTAACATAAATCACATTAGATATGATTTTATCTGCCATATTCTTTAAATGATTTGCTTATAAAAATGAATGGTTCAATTTACAAATAACCTCCTACAAAGATTTAATTTAGATAATCAATAGATTAAAATAATTGAAATATTACAGTAATTAATTTACTTGAAACAAAACTTGAAAAATTAATAACAACTTTCTTTAATGGTTACAGCTTTTCCTCCTACTACAAGTAAACCTCAACGACCTACAACTCCTTTACCAACATCTCCAACTTATAATTTGACTTCTCCAATCCCAGAAACTACTCCTATTACAACCACAACAATAATAGCCACAAAGACTATGACTTCAAGCAATACACCATCAACTTCAAGTGAATTGTCTACAGAATCTTTTGTAATAAATATTTCAAATAATATAACATCCACAGGATTTACAACATCTACTTCTACATCGATGTCTACGAAAATTTCAACAAATATTATAGATAAGAGTAAGTGTAGTGATTTCAAAGTACTTTATTATTAATTTAATTCATTAATAATTTACATAAATATACATTTGTTCAAAAAATAACTAATAATAATATCAATAGCAAAAGAGAAGTTTTCATAGCATGAAATTTAATTATTTCTTGCAAGTATCTTAATCTAATGCATTTAGAATAATATTTATGTTCATAGTTTGCATTTTGAATAAAACAGTTCTACGTAGTAATTTATTGAATATGTTAATTTTTTAATAGAAATTGTAATGCCAACTACAACGCCTTTATTAACAACAGAAATCGATCTAATACCATCTATATCACGAGATGATGTTTGCCAACCAATTTTTGCATCAGATCTTTTTTGGAATTGGACAAAGAAAGGAGAAGAAGCAGTTCAAAAATGTCCAGAAGGAGCAACTGGTATATCAAATTATATTTAATAATAATAATAATATTTATTTTGAATCATATTTTATATATCAATTGCTGTTTATCACATTACAGGATTTGCTAGATGGAAATGTGGTGTGAATCCTGTTAAATGGGTAAATGAAAGTCCAGATTTGAGTGAATGCAAATCATTATGGATTGACAATCTTAGAGAAAGAGTAAGATTTATGTTTTAGTATTTATATAGAAACAAAAAATTTTAGAGGATTAAAAAAAATGTTCAGAAATATTCTGTCATTTTTCTTTCTTGCTTGATGTTTTATATAACTTACTGAAATTACATTAAATATTTTTCAAATTAAATTATCTCAGTAGAAAATCCAATTGATAAAAAGAACAAACACATCAACACTATAAGTATTAGAAAAAATATTAATTACAATTCTAAATTTTTTTGTTGCATCATCTCGGTTGCCTTGCCAAAAACAAAATGAGATATTGAGATATGGCAAATAACCTGTTTTAATTAAATTTTTTCCTTAATATTCCTAACATTATTTTATTAAAATTATTTTTATCTCATATTTTTGCACATAATTATCTAAATCTTGATTAAATATTTAAATATCTCATTAATCTTATTTTTTTTATTTTTTTTGTTAAGATTAAATATATTTATCTATTGAATTCCATGTTTAAATATCACATTAACTTTTCTAATAATTGTTAATTAATCTTCAATAGATTTTATTTTATTTACTTTACAAAATAAACATCAAAAATATCTTTGTTTTAAATATATAATTAAATAAATTTCAAATAAGAAAAATGCTATTTCTTTAAATGTAATTAATTATTCACGTATTACAATATTGTCTTTATAAGTAATTTTTTTCGTATTTTTATATAAAGTGACATATTTTTTGTACTTTAAATATTTATCATCACATTTCTTGTGAAGAATTAATTAAATGTTTACAAATTTATTTGCTAATAATTTAATTATTCCCACATTTATAGTGATTAGATGAAATAGGTAACTTCATTAAATTAATAATTATTACTGAGGCTGACAACAGCTCCTTGACAATGAACAACAGCAACAAAATAAACTTTAGCACATTAAGAAGTCTTATTTATTTTACATTAACATAATTAATATTAGTTAAGTAATTACAATATTGACGTATGTACTTTTTCCAAAATTTTACAAATGAATAAGTAATTAAAGCACAATTCATAACATATAATGAATTTATAAAATAGCATATACCACATTATTTTATTGGCAGCAGAATTCAAGTTTTTGGGTATGAGACAAACTGACAAAATGTTCAAAATGTTTAAATGAAATATATATATTTATAATTTGAATAGTTAAATTTTGTCTGTTTGTCTCACACCCAAAAATCTGAATTCCATTTACCAATATCATAACACATACAGTATCTATTAATAATGATTAAAGAAATATTATATAATATATGCACTTATATGCACAATAATATATATATACACTTTTTGTTTCTTGGAAACCAAATACAAAATTGCTCTCTTAATCCCAGTTTTAGTCTGCAAGAAAATGGAAAAGTGTGCATTTTAAGGTCATTAGAAAGATAAACTTGGTAATAGTACATAATATATATATACATATACATATACATATATATATTATGTACTATAATATGATTCAAATTATCTATTCAAGTTTTATATTTATGAAAGTATTGAAGATCAAATGATAAAAACTATGGAACTATAACTATCTTAGGAATCAAAAAAGTCTGTTAAAAATCATTTCTCAAAAAATGGAGAAAAGAAGTTTAGAAATTTAAGTAAAGCCTACTGCTTTTCTTGATGTAATATGAAGATTATACAAATTAGATGGGTTTTGCAAATTATTTAGAAATGAACAATAAGAACATTTACATTTTATTTATGAATCTTTCTGAATTTTTGGCTAACTAAAATATATCAGAAAAAGAAAATAGATTTATTTAAGGTAAACACCAAAGTATTTAGTAGCCACATAAAAATATAGATAGCAAGTAATAACTTATATTTAACTTGTAAGCAAGTAGCAACTCCCTTAGTTTTAATACAGTTGTGTCCATTTTCAATGTGTGTCATTGAGAATGTATTATGTGATTCAATAGTTACATAATTCACCATTTTCAAAAATTTTTCTATTGCCCAAATATGCATATTATAGTGATTCATTTCATAATTAAAGAATAGATATGTTCAGTTAAATTTTACTAAAACTGAATATCCTGCTAATCCAATTCAATCTAATTGCAATTTGATTGAAAAAATGTACACAAAAATAATATATTTTCACAGTATAATTGCATTTGTTGCACAGTATGTTTACATTGCAATTCGCAGATGATCAGGTGGTAATGCAGACGATAAGGATGATCTGGAATACATGACAAGGAAAATAAAAGAGGAATATTTTAAAGGAGGTTTATATGTAAACATGAGTAAAACAAAATATTTATGCATAGGAGGGGCTAAAACAGAACTGAAAGAAGGAGAAAAGATTGAGGGATGTAAGCATTACAATTATCTTGGAATACAAATTCATCAAGATGGAACAGATGCATTAGAACTTAATACAAGATTAGCGCACGGTAAGAGAGCAGTTAAAAGATTAAATGAAATACGGTGGAATGAAGAAATAACTAGATCAAGAAAAAAAGAAAATATAGTGCTAATGTTAAAAGCATTCTACTGTATTATACGGAGCGGAGGCATGGAGAATGACTGGGGAAGAGAAAAGAAAAGTAACAACAGTTGAAATGAATGCATTCAGAAGGTCATTCAGAATCTCGAAAAGAGAAAGAATAACTAATGAGAGGATCAAAGACCTAATGGGATTGAAAGAGAAGGTTTTGGAAGAAATACAGAGGAAACAACTTATTTGGTTTGGATGTGTACAAAGAATGAGTGATTAGAGACTCTCAAAAATATCAATGGAATACATTCCACAAAAAAATGAAAAAGAGAGGAAGACCCAGGTGAACTTGGTACAACGGAGTAAAGTTAGCATGTAGTGAAAACAGATTAAAGAGAAATGGTGTATGGATAGAGAGAGAGATGGAGAGGATTCCTGGAGGTCAAAAGGTGACATCAAACACCATAAACTGAATATAGATAGATAATTGCATTTTCACTTAAATTCACTTAAGCTTTCACAATGTACTTTTGAAAATCTTATTCATTCTGGAATTGAATCTTGGGAAAGACTGCTAACTTAACTCACAACAAATTCTTACTTACTTATGCAATATTCCTTTACAAACTTATCTGCGCTGCTACTTTCAGTAGTTAAATTGTTTACATGATTATTCTCTATCAGAACCTATGTGACATTCACCTTTCACAAAGACATCTCAATTCAACTTGAGGTTCACACAGGCTAACTGCTTGGATATGACTATATTTGCAAAAACAAATTGACAGTTCTTACTAAGTGTAAAGTTTATTCAGTGTGCTTCTGCATTTAATTCAATTTTCCTTTACTTTGTTTTAAGATGATATTATTTATCCTAGGATTATAGTCTGGTTTTACCCCTGATTCTTATGTAATATTCTTTTACTAATTAAGGGAATCTTTTAATAATAAGGGAAGAAATTTTTATGTAAAAAATGTAAGATGTTCCAGTAACAGTGAAATATTGCAGTACCAATTCCAGTTCCAGTATAATAATTTGTAAAAGAATATTACAAATTAAGAATATTAATTTAGAGTCAGTGAAAATGGAGTCTAAAACTAATTGAACTTTAGTAATTGTTTAAATTTATTTATTTATTGATTACAAATTGATGAAATATTCAGAGATTGCTTCTACAATCAAATATTAAAGATAGGAAAAACCATTGACAGTCTGGAAATTGGGAACATCTGATCATCCTACTTTCTTGCACTGTTTTACTGCAATATATAAGATGGTAACAAGTAAATTTACTTTTTCTCATTTTCTCAAATTGCAAAATATTATGATTAATAGAAATTTATATTTAAAATTAGAGCATTTGCGACTGAAAATGTTAGTTTGTTGATATTAAATTTTCAACTGGTGTTAAAAATAGGTTTTGTATGGTTTGTTATTTATTAATAGAAATTTATAAATAAAATTATCAGAAACAAAAGTATTTAGTTATCATTTTATTTGATTACAAATAATGTTAAAAAGATATCACAATACTTGAAAGTATTTATAAATTACACTAACTTTTATATGTTATCAAAGAATAATATTTCTAATTTAAAATTCAGAATATCATTTCCAATGCCTTTAGACAGATGGAAAATTTTTAGAATACTTTTACAATATTCAAAATGCATTTTAATAAGACAATTTTTATTACTTTAGTTTATTGCCAATACTTTTCAAAATATATAATTTTGAAATGCATACTGAACAATAAAATATTGAAATAAATAATTCATTAAATAATATATATCAGTATACATTATTACTTTCTTAAAAATGAAGAAATATATATATTTATATAAAAGAATTCTATAAAAATGCTACAAGCCATAGTTTTTAAGTAGAATTAATTTAAATTTACTGAAACTTTCAGAAATAATCAATATTATGTAATATGTAGAGATGAGCAAGTGATATATGAATACTTGAATATTTTCTGGAACTGTATTTGAATATTCAAGATTTGATTAATGTTTAAATTTGATATTCGAATTTGAAGAAAATGATATTTGCTCATCTCTAATAATATGTAAATAACATTTAATTTTTATTTATTTAATTAAATTTTTTATGTTACAAAAGTATTTATTATTTTCAGATGCATGCAGGAAATTCTGTAATTAGTGTAGCATCAGAATTAACACAGATGACAATGAGCAAATCATTATTTAGTGAAGATTTAAAAGAAGTAACTGATATGATACAGCAAACATTAAATAAAGCTGTTACAAGTATGGAAAACTTTTTAGATATGTGGCATAAATATCACGTTTTAAGAGAACTATTACAGGTATATTTATCACATAAAACTAAAATAATAATAGTATTTTAACATAAATGTTAAAATTATAAAAATTTCAATTTGTTTGGCAGTCTATAGTTCATATAGTAAGCAACTTATTAGGCAAAGAACAAAGTGATGCTTGGAAAAAATTGACTGTTGCTGAAAGAAGAAGAATAATGTCGGCACTTTTAGAAGGTTTGGAAGAAAGTGCTCTGTTGCTTGCAGATACAGCTAAACAAGAAGGATCCTTTAGCCTTTCAAAACCTAATGTTTGTAAGTAATATTTTTCATTAAAACAATGAATTACTTACTTAACAAACAAATGTATGACTAACTTGTTCTCCATTATTTTTCATATATAAATTATGCATTTTGTTAGTTATAAACAAAATAAGCATTATTTACATATGATTCTATATTTTATTCCTTATCATTTACATTAAAAATAGATATTTCTTTTATATTGTTTTATTAATAAAATTATTTAGTTATTTAAATTAAATTACAATTTTTTTGTACAGTGCTTTCTGTAAGAGTACTTGATATTAGGCTATTGAACACAATAAAATTTCCTGTCATAGAAGAACTGCAAAATAGTAATCCTGAAGGAACCCAATGGATTAGAATGGAGGATTCTCTTATTTTACCAGCTCAGGCTCTTTTAGATTCATCTAGACATGGTAAAGAATGTTTTTTATAAATAATACAGTAGATATATCAAATAAAAATATATAAAAATTTAAAACTGTTGTATATTATAATAAATTTTATATTCTGTAATACACAAATGACATAAATAATATATAATATTATAACAAATATGTGTAGTCTTCAATTTTAATATAATATATAATATTATATTAAAATACAAATTTAAAACTTTTATTTAGATATTTAAGCATTTTTTGAAGTTTTGTTTTGTAAATTTGAAAATTACAGGTTTATCAAAAGTGATGTTTACTGCTTATAATCGAGTGGATGAATTACTTAAACCTGAACCAGGATATTATCCAAAATTATTTCAATCACTTCCTACTCAAAATAACATGTCTCTGCATAATACAACACACATTGTTAATTCTAGAATAATTGCTGCTTCTATTGGAAAACGTGGAATGATAAGATTATCACAGCCAGTTAAAGTAACATTAAGACATCTTAAGGCAAGTTACATTTAAGTTTGTTTTCATTATAACATATTAATTAATCATTAACACAAGTTAATGTTATACTTTTTTACTCTTGAAAAAAGAGTTATAAAGAAGAATGAATCTGTATTTGTAAACTTATTTAAATTCATTTTTAGGAAGAAAATGTCAGCAATCCATCTTGTGTCTTCTGGGATTTTCATGCTAGGTAACAAATATATTATTAATATTTATAACTGTTTTATTTGCAAAGACAGTACATTTCAAGAATTAAGAATTTAAAAATTTTTATATTGTTTATCACAGAGAATGGTCAAGTAAAGGCTGTTGGGTAGAAAAGTCTAATAAAACTATGACAATTTGTGCATGTGATCATTTGACAAATTTTGCAGTTATTATGGATGTTCGACCTGCAGAAGTAAGTTTCTTACATAATACTATTTCACCAGTAATATTTTTATCAGAAGCAAACTGAAATTACATCAATAAATTAATTATTATTTGTAGTAAAATACAAATAACTATTTTTAAATGAAGTTTTCGGAGTGCAATAATCGTCTATTTTAATCTTAAAGAAAGATTTATTATACTTCATTCATAAATGTTGAATTAAAAAGTTAATTGAACTTATGAATAAACATAAGTTAGTCTATTTGCACATTAATTAATTTAAATTGCAAATTATTTCAAAACAAACTTTGATTTTGTTTTACATTCTTCTCAGTAATTATAGGAAAATTGTAGTATATAATTTATATATTAACTGATTTTCATCATTTATTATATTAATTTTTCATAAATTTAATATTAAAATATTTTCTAATTAATCATTAAAGTGGATATTAATAACATAGTCTATAATTATTTTTATTTTCTCTTCTATCTGCATTTAACTAATAATATAATGAAAATCATTTTTATTCAATAATTGATAAGAAGATCTATAATTTTAATTAATTAATTTTAATTAAAATATCTGAAAGATTAAAAAAATAAAATTAAATTAAACAGTAATTTTATGCCTCAATTTAAATGTAGTGGGAAAAAATTATATTTTTATTTATTTATTTATTTATTACATTGAATTTGGCGATATCTTGTGGACAATATTTGCCACCTCCATTACAACAATCTTAATTAATTAAAAAAAAAAACATTATGCGGTAAAACCAAAATTTAAAAAAAACATGCTAGAATAACAAAACAATAATAAAACAAATATAAAAAAATATTTGGAGTAAATTTTAAAATATACAAGTTAATAAATATGAAATATATTTCAGAATTTTTTGGATTTGTTGTTTGTTTTTGATTTAGACAATTAAAATTACCTTCTTCTTAATACTGGAATGAATCACAAATGCACTTTAAACAACCTAGTCCAGTAACAAAAATTTTTTAATGTAAAAAAGTTTTGATAAATGTTTTCGACCTTGACCAAGGTTTGCCTTGCTTTTTTGTTACTGGACTTTAAAGGTTGTTTAAAGTGTGTTTGTGATTTAGACTAGTGTTTCTTTCCCGGAAAATTTTATTTTCCCGGGAAATCTCGCATTTCAATAATAATTTACCATGTCAGGTTTTCTTTCTATTATTTATTATATGAAAAGTTGCATCTTGAAGACTCACCTAAGAGAGAAATTTTGAGGTTTCTTGCTGCATATTATTACCTATGTTTTTCAAGTCTCTACTTGTTAGTTCATGTAATATCTATGTATTGTGTTTGCACATCATTGAACAGTGGAGACTTGCTGAAAGTAAATATCACTCATTGCACTTTAGTTTATTTTTTATTTCATCTTTAGAAGTAAAATAGTATTTTTTTCGTAATCATTAAAACTCCCAATGAAATGCTTTATTTTACTTTCATCTTATAATGTAGGAGAACATAAATTAATTGAGCCTAACCTGTCTGTATGGATGAGATTGGCCCTACACTTTTAGTTACTTACTAGAAAATAAATTAAATTATTCAAATTTATGATATTCCTGTATGATCTTTTTTATTCATATAAAATTCTATTTTACTATCTCATCCTGGAATTTCCCGGAAAAAGAAATTATTTTTTCCGTAATCCCGCTGGAGGCAAATTTCCTGGGAAATGAGAAACTCTAATTTAGACAATTTTTATCTGAACTTAAGTTTTTACAATGAAGCAAAATTTTAGCTTGTAAACTACTAAATTGTAAAATTTTGGGTAAAAATAGCCAAAGTTTTATATTTAGTAGTTTACAAGCTTTTATAAATCTAGGTTTCAGTATGTTTTTAGAAAGTTATCATTTCATCATTCTATGATCAATTATTAGATTGTTGAAAATGATATAATAATATAATATGAATTAAATTTAGACTTATTGGAAAAGAATACTATTTTCTTAACTTCAAATGATAAATTGAACATGTGCAATTATATTAAAATAATATTAATATATATATTATAATTGTTTTAGGACAAGAAGTATGGAAAAAATCTAATCTTTAGAACAAAATATTTATATACCTGTGAGCACTATGTTGGCCTTTCTTTCTTTATTGTTAGACTTATTACACCGTCACTGGACACAAAACCAGTGTTAGAAAATCACTTTATTTTTCAAAATAGAACAAAATATTTATTTTTAGTTTGTCTTAAGCATCAAGCCTCCTATACTATGTTATTTAATCATATGATTCAAATATGGATCAAAAGTATTAGTTACATTTAAATAAATTTTTCTGATTTATAAAATTAGTTTTTGTATTATTAAAAAATATATGTTATTCTACTTGGTAAATTGAGTTTAACATAAAATTCTGGATATATAAAGAATCATTATAATGCAACAATATATTACACAGAATGACTGTATTTGCTGTATATCAAATGTGGTTTTTCCACGAATGCATGGTCAATAACATTGTGTAGAGCTTTCTTGATACTGAAAATGTAGTATAGACTTTTTCAGAGAAGACGGAAGATTATCTGACAATTTTCAAATCAGAGTATAATTAAATTTATCATCAAAAACAAAGACTCTATAACAATGATTTAAATATAAGTTTTCAACACACTGTTTAAACAAATTAGGAATTATCTTAAGTTATTTATTTTTTGTAAATATTCACAATAATAATTATTGTGATAAATTCATAATGAATTGCTCTAAAAATATTATAAGTGAAATGTCAGAAGCAACCAAAAATTATACTGATTTTAGATTTATATACAGAATATTTATTAATCTTTTACTATCTTTGCATTAAGTTTATTCTGACTATATTTAATTTGTAAAAAATATTAAAAAATGAAATTAGATTTTTTAAGTGTGAACAAGTTTCCTTAGTATTAAGTTCATTCTTTGTTGACAACCGGCTTTATCTTTTAATATAAGTAACAAATCATATTTATTAAGAACTACAATTTGTTATTTATATTAATTAAAAGATGAAGGAGAGGAAGATGAAAGTTGAAGGAAAAAATTTATTTGTGATTAATTTGATTAGTTTATTGGTATTAATTTCACAAATCAAGCAATTCATACATACTTTTTTTTCATACATTCTCAGATACAAATTTCCCATCTTAAATATGTCATAATACAATATAACAAATGAATTTTAAATAATAAATAAAAATTATA